GGGAGAGAGAGACTGCACTATATATACAGAAACTGCACACAGATACTACCGATATACAAATTGAAGTCCATACAGTTACCGAGTTAATACATACCCAACAGTAGACAGTGTCACTACCGCCCAGTAAACCGAATCCCAGTAGTCGTTAGTGGGCTCTAGCAAGTAGAAGAAGTAGGCTCCGAGCAGTATATACGCGACTATAAACAATACCACTGCCAGGGGTATGCCGAATCTGCGGGAATACTTCTGCCACCCAGACCTCCTGTGATCCAGCACCACATTATTCTCCTTATGCCATGCCTCCATTAGCTTTTGCCTACGGCGTTGGTCTCGGTAACTGTTGTGCGCGGCGGCGGAGTCTGGGGCAACGGATGACAAACCAAACGCAGATTAAACTCGAAATCAGTACTACATATATAACAGACAAACCCCTAAAACCTTGGCCATCTAATAGAACACCAACAGCTGCTGCTCACTGTCCGCGTTAGTCCGTGACTGAGGGAGAGGTATATACCACCGTACAGCGCATTATCACTTGGGTTTTGTATTGAGGCTTTGCGTCAAACAGACATACACCGGACCCCACATCTGGAGAGCCGTCTTGCAGAAGTGCGAGACGAATGAAACAATACAGAAATATTAGGAAACTCGCAAAGGGGCAATATAATAGTATAACCTTGTAGTACAAAACACTAGAGAGGACAATGAAGCTGTGGCGAACACCTGAGTGGTCTTAGTATATGGTTGCAAAGACGCTGCTAAGATCTGAGTATGTCGATAGTGGCGTTGTCAATACATACTCGTTCACGTAGTATGAAGCCACGGAAGCTGGTCACACAGAAACACAACCCAAATATACACACCCACGCACACGGCAGATATACACTTATGCATACATCAGAGACCACTGCCCCGAAAGCGGTGTAATATTTACTACGACCCCTACTCGTATCACCCAATAGTGTATTTCGCATGTATAGCCAAACGGCACCGCTGTCAGATCGACTACAAAGAGTTGTTTACCTCCTGGGTTTAGCGAAACATGGTACTGCAGATTTACGTCCGAGATTTCGTTCGTAGCTGAAAGCTGGTCGGGATCAGGGTTCAGCGACCCTGGAATACTTAGATGCTCATTGCCGGCTTGCAAGGCTGCATCCTGGGCCAAGCGAGGACACGCACGGGTTTGTGTATCAGTGAATGCGTATTTCAAGATGTATACACGGATGTTAAAGTATAGGTGCATCCTATATGTACATATATCAGCAATCGCATGCGCTGTGGCAACACAACGCAGGTCAACACAACGTCGGTATGCAACCTGAGGATTAGCGCTCCAGTTTGACAATTGATTTAGAGTATAATATGTGAAAAACACTCAAATTATACTCGAAAGCTTCTAAGATTTTTAGAAAATGAAGGTCAATAACGCACCCATCTTATTGTGTGCGCATTATATGGACATTCTCATTTCTGGACTGAGCTTTCGCCTACTGCAATAGAGGCAGCAATCGGAACAGCCGACAATGAACTAATGAACAAGTATACCGGGAACAATATGAACAATACACGCAACATGTACAACAAGTAACGATGGAGCGTTTCAACCACGAGTTGTACGGAATTTGTCATAGA